ACATGGCGCTAATTAAAAATAACCTTTCCAATTGTTGAAAATACACTTCAGGTTGATTTATAACAACCAGAAGTGTAAAATGGCCCCCCTTAGGTTGAAAAATATATGCCTCTACAAGCATAAAATTATATACCTGAGGATGAAGAATAATTACCTGAGGTACAACAAAATACATTTGAGGTTGATTTATAACAACCAGAAGTGTAAAACGACACACCACAGGTTGATAAATATATACCTCTACAAGCATAAAATTATATACCTGAGGTTGAAAAATAATTACCTGACGTCGAACAAAATACACCTGAGGTTGATTTATAATAACCTGAAGTGTAAAATGGCACACCTTAGGTTGTTGAATAAATACTTCCGCAAGTGTAAAAAAATATACTTCAGGCTGAAACATATATACCTCTGGAGGTATATTTAAGGTATATTTGAGGTTGATTTTGAGGTATTCATTTGCACCCTTTTCAACCTTTACGACGTATTTAAACAACAACCTCCTTTATACCTTTAAAATATACCTCGTTTATACCTCATTTATACCTCGATTTTTTCATAAGGGCTGGCTCTTTCAGTAAATCTTTTTCCGGAGGAAAATTTGCCACAGACACTCTTCACTATAATCTCATCAATAGCTCTTGTGTTAGCAATCGCTCTGGTATTATCCAAAATGAAAGAGACAGTACTCTCATCGGGACTCATTTTGAATAATACAGCTCTTCTACTTGCAGGTACTTTTATACATACACAACAGGATGTGCACCAGAGCTTCAAAAGTAATATCAGAACGGGTCATTCACGCCACAGGATGTACGCGGAAATGTCTTTTTTTAAGGAAAAAGAAGAAGAAAACTTTAAAAAAAAATTAATCTTTAACCAGTGGCGATATGCCGAGACTTCAACAGCCCCCTATTTACCATCCATGTGATGGGTGTAAGCAACACAAGATTTGTCCTGATCATCAAAAGTCGTCAGCGTATCAGCTTGCAAAGATCACTCAGGTCCGAAAAATCTGAGAAGCCAAAGCAATTCATCATAACACTGTAAAAAGAAAAGGAAAAAAAATCAACTTAGCTTTTCAAAAGAAATTTCCGAACCGATTCCTGCTGTGGGTTACATATTCAGAATTTGTTGTGTGTTGCATACTGATGCTTGATACTGCAAGAGTTACAACACAGACAGATTTTGAGGTGATTTTTTTTTTCAAATTTCACACCATTTCCTTCTAGATGGCAATTTAATTTGTTTTGAGTTTCCAAGCGTGGAAGTTGCGTACCAGTAGTTCCGAATGAATGCCTTTTAGGTGAGTTTGGAAAGCTTCTTTTGCACAGAGTTTCAGAATTTCTATCATGGTTTTCCAATAAATTAGAGTTACGACTGTGTGAAAGTTTCTGTGCAAAGTTTCTAAAATTAAAATAATGGCATATTATTGTATAACCGTTGTTGAACAGCCGATCCAATTTTGTGTTTACGACTACTAATGTTCATCTCCGTAGCCTTGTAATTTTGAACCTAATCCAGAGGACAAAGGAATTCCTGGAGCAAGTATTGAGAGAAATTTACCTTTGTTGAGGACCTTTTGATGGAACTAACCCGCATTTGCGTTACACAGAGAGGAAAACCACGAAAAACTTCCGCGGTTAGCCAGACGGCAATGAGACTCTAATCTATTATCCGTATACCACTGAGGATATTTTACGTCAACACTGCGGTCGGTGGAAGACGTATGCGAAATTCTTATCGATCAGCCATCGCTGGGATTCGAACCCGTTTCACCTCATTGGAAAGCGAACGCTCTATCCCCTGAGCCATCGCGGCTCAACATGATGGTATTTTATTTTATATTATAACCGTCGTTGAACAGTCGACCCACTTTCGGGTTTACGACTACCAATGTTCAACTCCGTAGCCTTGTAATTATAAAACCCAGAGGTATTAGTTTATTATGGAAACATGGAGGAATTTGCGACTAACAGATTAAACGTGCATCAGTCACCATTTATTATGAGGGGTGGCTTCGGCCGGCGGGGATTGAACCCATGACATGGGCCCAGCTCCCTACTGACCAGGCAATCCCGGCCTAATATAATGTTATTTTATTTTATATTTTCCATCGTTGCACAGCCGACCCAATTTTGGGTTTACGGCTACTAATGTTGGATCAGTACCCCCAGAGGTATTAATTTACTATGGGAACATGGAGAACTTTGCGACTGACAGATTTAACGTGCATCAGTCACCATTTACTACACGGGGAGTCTTCGACTGCCGAGGATCGAACCCCACGACCCCTTAGACATGGGACCAGTGCCCTACAATCCAGGCTATCCCTGCCCTAATATAATGGTATTTTATTTTATAACCGTCGTTGAACAGCCGACCCAATTTCATGGGTTTACGACTACTTACGTTCAACTCCGTTGCCTTGTAATTTTGAGCCAATCCAGAAGACAAGGAAACTCCTGGATCAGTATCCCCAGAGGTATTGATTTGTTGTGGGGACATGGAGGACTTTGAGACTCGACAGATTTAACGTGCATCAGTCCCCATTTATTACACGGGGAGTCTTCGGCCGGCGAGGATCGAACCCACGACCTCTTGGATATGGGCCCAGCGCCCTACCGACCAGGCTATCCCGGTCCCCAGTATGATGGTATTGCAAGGAACCATATTTTGCTTGGAAAATGTGTCGAAATGTGCTACGTGATTACTCGACAAGATGACAGGGTCAGGAAAACTTTACGCCTGATTCGGGACTAGAGCATCTTGTTCCTCAAAGCCATTCATGAAGCCATTCTGCACTTTTTTTTTCTTTTTTTTTTTTACAATTAAGTACATCACATTAAGCTTTGTAATTTTGCATTGCAAAATAAAAAATTTGAGCGAAATCGATTGAATCGTTCCTGAGAAATCGAATTTGTACGACTTCTTTAAAATTTGATTTCTCAAGAACACTGCGACAGATTTTGCGCTCCTTTTGTATTTTGCTATGTAAATTTATTTACCCTAAAATGATGCACATAATTGCTTACCTTACAAATCAAAATTTTTTCGACTATTATTAAATAATAAAAGATAATACATATTTGCCATTAATAAATATTTCATCACTGAATGAGCTCCGTGTGCGGATGGGTGATCACTTTGATCAGCCTGCGAAGGGACCAAGGGTTTGTGGAACTTATCTTTGTTAAACTGTTCTATCAGAAAATTCCTTGACTTACCGCACAAGTCATCGAGATACCAACGAGGGGGCGCCATTCCCTCTGCAGAGGATCGAAATTGTGATAGCATGTTTTCGGATCATCCTCAGGGATATTTCCCGTACCGTCGCCAATAGTCCATTGTGCAGCGCTATAGCGACGTAAATGAACTACAACTACAACTAAACAATTCAGTCTCCAATTTGTCCCGCAGTGGACTGATCGTTAAGACACGGTTCCCAGAAGATCACCGAAGTCAAACATCACTGGCTACGGTCAGAGTGCGGGTGGGTGACCACTTGGATCAGCCTGCGTAGGTACCGAGGGTGTGCGGTATGGGTCCTCATAAACTGTTCTACCGTAAAGTGCTCGACTTCGCGTGCAGGTCGTCGGGCTACCGAGGCTGGGGTGCCATCCCCTCTGCAGAGGATCAAAATTGCGATGGCATGTCTTCGGATCATCCTCAGGGATGTTTCCCAGACCGTCGCCAATGGCCCATTGTGCAGCTCTAGTGCGACGTAAATGAGCTACAACAACTACAACAACAACGTCTCCAATTTAATTACTTTCCCATGAAAGCTACAAGCGCATTAATAAAGCATGAATTTCAAAATGGATCGTCAAGATGCTATTACTTTTCGAACTAAAAATTGTAAACAATTTAAACCGTTGAAATACTTTCCAGTGCTTTTATAAGCTTAAAATTGTTTCGAGGGTAGCAACAGAGAAAACGCGTTGAATGTGATCTTCGTAAAAGGCATTTTGGAGCGTTTGCCACATACCTCCAACTGTCATAAGTTTGTTTTTGTTATTGTTTGCTTGAGATTTCGGCTTTTGTTAGTAGTTTAACGTTAGCAGATTTTTCATGTTATAAACTCTATAAAAATGTTTCGTAAAGCTTATTCCTATTCCAGTGTTTCTGAAGAACCTTCTTCTGGATGTTGTCGAGGCTGTAAGTTCTAGTTTTAATTTAATGTTCATATATATTAGTCATGTATGTATTTCAAAATTTGGTTTATGATAAACAAACAGCTCTGTGCTTTATAAAATTTGAATTGTCAATGTATCATTTTGAACATTTAATATCATGTCAATAAATATAGAATTAACATTCAAACGTTTGAGGTTTAAAATAAACACAAAAGTTAAAATTGTAAAAATCCAGTTTATGCACTTGTGCTTTATTTTTAAACAGAATTGCTTCGGATGGCTTCGTCTAATTTTTATTTCTTAGCCTATGATTGTTCTATGGTTTAATTTTTATTGTTTTGAACTTGTGATTTAATATTTTAGTTTTTTATTGTTTATTTTATTGAGTTTCAAATTATATGATTTTTCTGTGATCCACAGCATTTAAAGACCTTATTAGGAATATATAATGATGTTTATTAAACTTTTCGAAACAAAAGAGAACACTAAAATTAACCAGTATTTACATTTTCATTCACATTTTATTTTAAACTATTATTTTTTATCCTGATTTTAATCTTGCTTTTCAAAGTACAAAATAAGAATAAATGTTTATAATATCATTGTATTGATTTTATTATTTATATTTTTTCTTTATATTTAAATGTTTATGTGTTTACCTCATGTTATAAGTTAACTTCGGATGAGAAAACAAAAAAGAAATATGACTTACTTTCCAGTCTTGCTTTCAAGTATGATTTATTGACAATATTTTTTTTTAGTATCTTCTTTTAATACTAACCTTAAATGCCCTACTAGTCTAAGCTGACAGACATTTCCAAATGAAGTTGTTACAATGATGAAACCCTTTAAGTGATTTTATTGACTCAGATCTTCATTTGGTATGTTATAAGGCTTCTGACTTTAAAGGAGCTATCATTTATATTGTGATAAGCTTAGCAATGAGTACATTTCCTGGTCCCTTAATATTTCATTATCCTTTTCCATTGCAATTTGTAGATGGTTATATATATGAAGAAAAAGAGAAAAAAACTAGTGAGTTAATTCTAATTTATTCTTACATTTTATTCTAATTTCATTTTTTCACATCTCCTGAAAAGAATAAGAAAACATTCTTTACTACCAATTGTTTGGTTAATAGTTTTTCCTTGTTTATAATGTTTGAAACTTTCTTTTAATATTAATGTAAGAATACTTTCAACTACATTTAAAAAGATTAGTACTTAGACTTGTTTATATATTGTTTTAAAAAAATGATAAAATTTATGATAAAAATTTTATTATTTAATTTTTAAACAAATACTCAGTTTGACTGAATAAAAAAATATTCGGCAGAATAATAAAATATTCATCGGAATTGTCCAACTAAATATTAAAAACAATATTATTTTGGTTTATAGTAATAATATAAATTAATATATTTTATATAATATTACCATTGGATTATAATTATGCATTAAGCCTTTATAAAAATTTAACTGTTTATTAAATTTTTAAAAGAAATTATTTCAAATATTAAATTTAAAAAAAATTTTCACTTAATTAAATTATAAGTAAATAAGAATTAATTAATAATTGTATTTTTTTTAATGTCTAATACTTGAAAAATAATCTCAAAATAAGAATTGTATTATTTAAAATTGTTTCTAAGAGAAATATTTGTTCTGATTCCATTAAAGAAAAAAGCCTTCGAAGTTAGAAGATTGTAAACTGAATTGGTAATACATCTGCAACTGTTTTTGAATGTTTTTTTTTTTTCATCGTGGCCACTCTTGGCTCAATTTCATTAGTGCCAATTATGCTCCATGCCATTTCAGAATAAAATATTAATTTTACCTATAAACATATTTATTTATTACCTATATTTAAAATTTTACCTATAGGCATCACAGAGACCCAATTTTTGAGGGAGACAAAATTTAACTACACAGTTATAATAGTTTTCTAAATTTCACGCATACAAAACAAATTCTAAAATGTACTAAATACCTGCAAAATGATTCATTATTTTTATCTTTCTTATTTTTAATATTAAGAAATTTAAATTGATGATAATTCACGGTTTCTTTTTTATTTGTCTGATATATTTAGAGGGACTTGTATATGTTTCTAATTATTGAGGGAGACAAATACGTACTGTCTCCCCTCTAATGACACCTGTGTAAAATTAGACATTATTTAACACCAAATTACAGCTCATAAAACAAAAATACTTCAGATCTCTATCAAATCATTACCCCTTGGCAACAGTTTTATAATGGATTTGCACCCATTTATTGGTAAGTTTTACGCAACAAACTTTTTTTAACATTCCATAAATAAAAAATATTGCTAATCTGCATTAAATCATTACCCCTTTGCAACAGTTTTGTTAACCCTCTGCATAAAATTAAAAAGAAATTAAAAAAAAGATGAAATTTCCAAAAATGAATTTGTATAAAAACTCACCTGAAAGCATGTATTCTATTTTATTCTAAAATTCACAATCTTTAAAGATCTCCCACAACAACGATGCTTCACTTTTCTACTTAACAAATTCATGTTCTTGGCACATGAACAATTTATAAAAAAAGGTCTTTTCACTTTCCCAGGTTCATCATAGGCATTCCCTAAACAATCTTTTTCTAATGCAAACTTCTCTTGTAAACCTTTTATCACTGGCTGAGTCGTTCATAAAACATTCAAAAAACCATAACCAACATTCAACTCAAAATGCTACATACACTTAAAATCACTTTACAAAACCTAATTATTCCTACCAAAACATTCATTTTTCAAGGAAAAAAACGCCACGCAAAATTTTATCCTGAAACCAAAATTTAATAATTCTGCAAAAAATGTTACATATAAAACGAAATGCTGATTTAAAAAAAATTCAGCAGGTCAATATTCTTCTCCATTGATCTGCGTAAATAGAAATCAGTAATATACGTCATCAAAATGCCAAATATTCACATCCTTTACAATTTCCTCATTTTTATGTTCCACGCAATTATGAAACTCTCATATACATTATCAATCATCAAATATCTACTACCAACACAACCTTAGCTACGTCATTCAATATGTTCAGTTCTCTCATAATTCTATTTACATCTCCATGATAACTGTGTTACAACTGAAGAAAGCTTATTTTAAGCTATGCCGAATTTGAAATGAATACTTGATTGATCAAAGAAAATAATATATTTTTGTGTTGGATCAATAATGATCATTTATTATATAAAGCACAAAGATGCCAACTTGCTCCGGACAGCAAATAAATATTTTCGATTGGTAGTTTACTAATTATGATTCTTGGTTTAATAAATTAAATTTATAAGGTTTTAAACCAATACTATTTCTAAATAATTCAAAGGCTTATGTAATTCACCACTTTATTACAATTAAGTCATGCAAAACCATTAAAAAAAAAACGCAAAATTTGTCAAATATTTGCAAATTTTGGTTTAAGATTAACAACCATTTTTTTAATTATTTTGGTGTGTCCGGAGCAGTTGGCATCTCTGAAGGCATATAATCTTATACTATTTATACCTAGATTTTTGCATTATATATAAAATAATGTTTTATAAAATTTAGTAATCTTATGAACAAAACGTTTCAATTGAAAAATAAAATAATGAAGCTGTTCAAACTAAAATCTTTATAATCTCTAAAAGCGTCCTTAAACAGATAATAGCTTGCTAACTGAAACTGTTTGTAAGTTTAAAAATTAAAAAAAAAATTCAAAGCTTTTTTAAAAAAGTATTTTTATTACTTAAAGTCTGAATATTTTTGTTTGGTTTTAGCAAACTGTTTAAAACTAAGTAAACTTTGTATTATATCTTTAATGCTGAGCATGTTTAATGAAAATAAAAATGGCCAAATATCGGTTATTGTTTGGATGAATAACGAAATGCTCCGTCAAGCAATAGCCTAATCCACTATTCAATTTTAATATTTATTGCCACACTGATTGGATTAATTGAGATACTATAGAAAAAGATGAAGTCTGATTACTATTTATTCATAGTTGGTTGTTAGAAAATTAATCTAGGTATTTTTATGAATATGTGATTTAAAAATTTGAGCTTTTGGGTCATTCCATAATTTGACTTTAAATGTCTTGTATGTAATGAACATTGATTAATTATTTTAGGAACATTGATTAATTATCAATTCAACTAAATAATTTTTTTGATTTGCATAGTGAAAAGTATATAAAATCATTAAAATAATTTTTTATTTCTATTTTCATTGTAATAAAGGAGTATAAACATATGGCTGTCAAATGTAGCATACATATTATATACTACAGATTGATACTTTAATATATTCTGTGTTATTTTTATAATCTCTTGAAAAACTTTCATTTCAGCATGTCGCTGCTTAACAAGGATACCTTACGCCACATTAATAGCTACTGTATTATGCTGTACTGGAGTAGGCATTTTTCTTGGTTCATTTTATCGTGGTATTTCTCTTACTCTTCGTACATTTGAAGAAGTTTTCCATTTCCAGTTTGATTGGTGAGCTTCCCTTTTTTTTCAATAAAACTTGATTTTGTTTCATACAGGATCTCAATTACAACCAACTATATACTTAGTACTTTTATAATACTGTAGAACCTTGATCGATTATTTCCCAAGAGACCATTCATTTCGAATGATAAATACGAGAAAACGAAGAATGCGGGTCAACTTAAAATATCATTTAATAAGTAGAAAATGTATGAAAATGGATAAATTTATAATAAGTATTTAAAAAAAATTAGTTGAAAAAAATTGAAAGAAGAATAAGTACTACATTTATTTATAAGTATTTAAAAATCTTGATTTTCTTTCTCTTTAGCGTAAACAATAAATTTTCAACATTTGTTGCAGATTGTTGATCATTTTCTGAAAATTCATGTCAATACAAATGTTCCTAATTTTTTAAAGGCTTTGAGGCCTTCAAATGTTTTCTCTAGTTCGCCATCTTGTGTCTTCATCCCTATCACTTTGAACCTCTCCAGCTTCTTCAACCATTTCTTAAACTGATACTATCACAATTTTCACCATTTTTATTAACTGATGCATAAACTTCAAACCTCTTATTTGAGGTATTTTACTTAAACTGTGACAAATCCACATTTTCTTCATTATTAGCACCAGAAATACCTGTTTTCTTTCCCCTCAAAACAAATTGACTTCAATGTTTTTTCAAATGTCAGTACTATTTCTGAATGATAGAAAATCTGCTAGTTTTAAAAATGTTCTAAATGGATATTATTGAAATGATCTAATGGATAAGTTTATTAGCTATACCTGCAATAAATAAAGATATGCATTCAGTATCCATTCTATTTCATAAATACATCTAATGTTACTTTTTAAATATGTTTCTTCAAAAGACTAAAAAAATTGTTTTGATTAATCCAACATCAAACAAAACAGAATTGAAAGAATTCAGTTTAAAAATTAAATTTTTACTTTAGAGTCAATGAGAAATTCTAAGACAATTTATGTTAGTTCAAGCTATCCAACATTTCGAGTTATCCATGTTCAAAAGTATTTTTAACCTTCTGGGTGATTCACATTTGGGCAAGGAACTGATAAAATTTTCCACTTTACAGAATTTAAATAACAAGTAAGTTTTTTTTCCTTGCAATAAATTTCACTTCTGTTTTTCGAAAACGATATGTTTTTGTTTACAATTTTTCATGTATCCAGCCTTAGACTTAGAGATTGAGCAGCTCCAAAGCACAGGGCACATCGACCAGATTTCTATTGTACCCAAACCCTAAATCATGATTAGCAAGAAAGCCTTTTGGCTGAAATATATAGTTCAGCAAACACCTGACTTGCACTTCCCAGGCCTTTATGCAGTGTTGCCCTAAATGCTCACAATTATAAACCTCACAATCACAAAGTATAAATTGTGAAGTCTCCTCTTCAAGATGACAACCTCTATAAAGAGGATTATGTATCCGATATTAGTACTTGTTACAGTTTTTATTATTATTTGGGGAAATTCTCAAAATATAATAAGAAGCTTGAAAAAAATTTATGGAATCAAATGTAATGAATAGATTTAGTTAAGTTTCTTTTTTTTTTTTTTTAAATAACTTGTCAGCTGTTTTAATATATGTTTTTTCCTTCATATTAATACATGTTTGTCTTTTAGGCTCATTGATTTGCATATTGTATTCATAATCATTGGGGGAGTTATGGGAGCTTTCAGCTTGATATTATTGTTGGTAGGCTTTCTTGCAACTGGTGCTACCAGGGAAAAAATATATAGAGGATTCAAATCAAGAATTGGTGGACGTTTATCTTGTGCTTTTGTAAGTTTTTCTGTATTTTCACAGTTTTAAAATTTTTATTATTGTTTATAAAATTTGCTTCTCTATTTCTATTTCTCAACATTTAGAGCAACATTCATATTTCTTTTTAGTCTTTCTTCTGTGATGTGCATCTTTGCATATTTAGTACAGTGTTTGCATACTATTGTTCCCCATTTTTAATATTTGCTATCTGAAACTAAGAAAAATATGAACTCTAAGAAAAATAACTCTAAAAAAATATGGATATTTGATTTGAAACACAGCATTTTATTCAACTAAACTCTACTTACTTACTAAATATTTGTGGTTGACAAGTAGAAATTTTGCATCCTTATTTATATTTATAATAACTGGATTTCCCCATTTATTAAATAAAAATCACTCTATAACATTATCTCTGTTTTTATTTTATTTTTCTGTAAGGTATCAATGATTGTGTAATAAAATTTAAAAACGACTGGAAAAAAAATTTTTGGATTGGCACAAATCAAAACACAATCCTAATCATTTTTTTTTCAATGGAATGAAAAAATTTTATTTCAGCATTATCCTCTGCAAATTTATAATTTTTTTTGCAAGATATTCTTTTTCACTCATTTGTTTTTAGAGCCGAACTATTCATTTTTCAACACTACTCCTAAAATTAGTTTTGTTGAAATCATTAAGCTAAATTAAGAACTCAGAAATATAACTATATTCTTCAGCGCTGAAAGTTTTTACAGGACATTTTTTCTCAGTGATAATGAACTTATTAATAAAAAATAAAAAAACATTAACTGACAGAGCTTTATGACACATATTCTGAGAATTTGCTCATAAACTATAGCTATTTTTCTAGCTTTTTTTTTTTTTTTTTTTTTTTTTTTTTTTTTTTTTTTTTTTTTTNTTTTTTTTTTTTTGAAAACCTGTTTTTCTTTTGCAATTTTAATAAGCAAGGAGGGTTTTAAAAAACATTTTTTTAAAAAGAAATTTGCCCAAATATGACATTTAGAGTTCGTTGATAATTTTTTTAGAAACTTCTGTAAATTCTGATTATTGAATTCTGAATATTAGCCCATTTTCTAGATTAAAGGAAAATCTATGTATTTTTATAGGTTAGAACAGAGTACTATGGCTTGCATGTCAAAGCCCTCAAAAGAAGGTGCTATTTACTGGGCTCCCAGTGATCTTGAAAGATAAATCATATAATAACAAAATTTATATCTTGAAATAATTTTTTATTTTGATTACCACAATAATCCTTTAACTCAAACACTTATAAAGAATTATGAGATCTACTAGATCAAAAATATTGAATATTTTTGAAAAAATTGATTTATCAATATACTGAACAAATTTCTAAAATCAGGAAGTATTATCATAAACGATTATGTGTATCACTTAATATAAATTAACTTTCGTTTCATTTTCAAACTGCTTTTTACTGTTATAAGCATTCACCAGAACATTCTGTGCAGCTAGTATATTGTCTTAAAAATATTCTATTCTTGCATCAACATATTCTCATTATTGCACATTCTATTGTAATTATTTGTAAATAGTGTTAAAAAGGTTTAATGGACTTTAAAAACTTATTTTGTAAGAGATAAAGAATAAATAATGTCACTGCATCTTTTATTGGAATTTATGAGATTTCAACTTTTAAAATGTTTTTTTATTTATTATTTTGCAGTTTATGGGACTAACCTATATATTGGAGTTAGTTTGGCTGATTGTCTTTGTCTCTCTGGTTCTTATTACATTTGTGTTCTCTGTTTGGTGGGGAATGTGTAATAATCTAAAGTATGAGCCCAATCCTGAAAATAGATGCATTGATTTGAAACCTTTGGGTTAGTTTAATTGCTCTTTATACTTCAATTTTAGTTAAATATGTGTTAGTATTTATGCAAAATATCACTTTAATGTTTGTAAAGCTAATAATCATCTCTTCTTTTGCTTTTTTTTTCTTCATTACTTTAAAATTTGCATTTTATTATTATTTCTTACAAGTTTTCCACAGAGAATCTGAATACTGGTTATTGTCAGGATATTTATTATTTGATTAATATTGCTTTTTTTTTTCCGAAGCCTGAAAATTTCTGAAGTAAATATAAAAAAATTATCAGTCTTTCAATTGATGGCAATAATAAGTAGTCAATAAGACTCAAGGTAAATTCTAATGTCTGTTATTGCTATTTTTTGTAGTTAAAATTACTTTATGCTAAATCAGAATATAAGTAAGCAAATCGATAGCTTCAAATTTTCAATATTAATATATTAAAAAGAAAAAGGTTTTGTTTACCAGTAAAAAAAATTTGTGCAACAAAATTATGGTCCAAAATTTTGTTGAAGTTACCATGAAGAGTTGGATAGTTTTTTTTTTTTTTTTGTTTTTCTGAAACAGAGTGAGACCCTTGTCTTAGTTTATATATTTGTTGGTTGCACACTGTATTGATCAAAATATCTTTTCAATTATAGTTGTAGATACCTACTGCTAAAGGGGCAATTGAAACTGGTTTCTTTTCTTTTGAAACTTATCTGACTCCAAACTTTAGTACTTGTTTTATGTTGTTTAGTGTTCTATATATATGTATTTTAAAAGGATCTGTTTTTATTTTCATTTGCTCATTGTCTGTAGCCTAAGTTATCGCTAAAAAGGAAGTTAATTTTTCAAATAAATTCTTAATTTATAAAAAATGTTCATATGCCAAACTAACAAGTTTTTTTGAAGAAATGTTAAGCTCATAAGTGAATTCTTTTGCTTAATTCATTGTTCTTTTTTTTAAATTTTGGCCAGTATTTTGTCCTTGAAACCACTCCTATAGCTATGCCGCTGCATTTTTTATTAAAATATATTGTCCATTTTTTTTTCAACTCCACAATTAGCTAAAAAGCTTTGCATCTCTTTTTCCCCTTCAAAACAATGTAATTATAGTAATATTGTTAGTGTTTAAATTAATGATTGAAAATTTTTGTTTAGGCCATTAATCCCTAAACCATTGTTCATTACTTTTTTTTTACAATGTTCATATTAAAAACCGCTTTTATAACAATGCATTATATGCGTAGTAATGTGTTTTTAAAACTTTCTGTTTTGAGATATTATTTATCTATATATATAAGCACAAATACAGTTTTTTTTTATTCTCATTCAGCTTTTATGTTCCCTAATGGCACAGACATGAACTTACTTCGAATTTGTGATGGTGGAAAACAAAAGAATTTCTGCAAAGACTGTGTAAGAATTTTATGTCTCTTTCTATCATTATTATAACTAGCATTAAAAATATATATCTAGTATTAAGAATAATAAATTTAATTATATTCAGGAATAAAGCATTTATTTCTGATGTACAAAATACTTAAGAAATAAAATAAAATTTGTTGTTGAGATATTTTTACATAAGAATTAGTAGAGAGTTATGTAAAAGAGTCAAAACATATTTCTTTTCAAAAATAAAAACTTTATATTTTCATAATGAGACTAAATTGAAAAATAAATTATGAATATATTTTATCTTCCAATCTATAAGACTTTTCTGAATTGCAAGTAAAATGTACAAAAAGTGGAGCTGCAATAAATATTATAATTAAAATATTCAGTTTCAACCAAATTTGATGAATCAGTTTTTGAGTAAATACTATTCTAATAATTGTATTCATTTGTCATCTATTTGTTCATTTTAAAAGTCCAGAAAATGTCCTGATTTTTTCTTTAGTCATTGAGACTTTGTGTAATTTACACTAACTCTAGCAAGCACCCACATATTTGTCTTCACTATTGGTCGAATATGGCTGATTGTTACTCTTTCTATGTTGATATGTCTGCAACTTGAAATAAATATCATTTTATTATATGATTTCTTTCTTAATAAAGTTTATGACTTTTGATAGGTTGAACCTGCAGAAGTGCTATTTATTGTTGCTCTTGCTGCAAGCTTTTTAGTTGTGCTTAGCTTGGTAAGTAGCATCTATTATTGATATTGATTTTTTTTTCTGCAAATTATTTTACATGTTTTGCTCAAAATATCCATTTTTCAGATACATTACTTAATGTGCTTATCTGCAAACTATGCTCGAATCAAAGATAACGAAAAGTTTCAAGAACTTCAAGAGTTGCAATTTCTACAAGATACTGAGATGGGAACACTATCAAAAGATAGATTCTGAAATATTTTAGTGAAAGTTTTATGGTTGTCTTGCAAAATATTTCATGTATTCCACTTTTTGCAGAAGTATTATTTTAATATCCAAGTGTTTTTATCGAAGTTCTTTCATAAAACTTCACTATTTTTTGTTACTTAAAATTTTTAGATGTATAAAATCACACAAATATTTTGTATGGTATTTAGCTATGCAATTTTTACACTCTTTAAATTGTTTCTCTCTATTTGAAAAATATATAGTGTTGTTGTAAGATATTAATTATTGCATTTACAATTACATTTTCATATACACCTTAACAAAGTCATGACTTCTAAACGTTTCATTACTCTGAAAAGTTTAACACATTCCACTATATACTTGAAAGTTATATTTTGCACTTTCATTAATAAATATATGTGTGATAAATGTATCTCTTTTTAAAATCAATTAAAATACTACTAACTTCTGTTATGAATCATTTGTTTGGATTTAAATTTTATAAAAATTATTAACTCTAGTGATCTATGTGAGTTTTAATACATTTGAAATTCAAAGAAATTTATATTTAATGAGAAAATTACAGTGCAATTTTTACATTCAATATTATTGATATTTTATGTGCATTTATATTTTATCAATTTACTTATTTTGTCATTCATTTTATATCATTCTCATTTTAAAGGCAGCTTTTTAGCATTTTATTTTACTTAAGATATATATCAAGTATTTATAGTGTGCTGTATAAATTTTATTCAAAAGTAGCTGTAGTAATTTTTTTAGAAAAATAAGGAAAAATAACTTTTTTTAGCAGACTTAATCAGATAAACGAACTTGCCTTTAGTCTGCAGTACAGGTGTTATTTAAAATTTCGTTTTTACCAATAACAATAATAATGAATTTGACTTGCTTTATAAGTCTTAACCTGCAAGATTTTGTTTAGAAACAGTGCTCATCCAGTAACAAAAATGTGAGTTTGAATTTCTATTATTATTGTTCCTAATTAGATTCACCTTTAAAAATTGAAACTGCTGCCGTATTTCAGAATTTTTCTTTATTTAATTTATAAGTTACGACTGTTTTAGTTGTTCATTTTGAGTGTAAGGAATTTAATGTGCATAACAGCATGTTACTTTGTCTGGTTTTTATTTTTTATTTGAAAAAGAATTTAAAAATTTTGATTCATGAATTCTTCCTGTGATAAACTCATTAGATTTTAAATACGAAGATCTGATATTAATATCAATTTTAGTCATCTGTTTTTCAATGAGTTTCTTCCTTTTCATTTTGCACTAGCAGTATTTGTTTATTTATTTTTTCAAAACTGTTTAGCTGAACTTTGGTGGCTAATATATTCTTCCATGACTTTGCTGTTAAAAAGATATCCTCATCGCTATCACTTAATTATATTTAATAGAAGTTTTTTTGCAGTGTTCTAAAGAAAAAAAACTTTAGCAATTTAATAAAAGCTCAGTTTTTTTAAAAAAAATTGTGTAATAAATGCATATTTTTTTACTATTTACTGTTAAGCTTTTCCATCAGATTTGAATGTTCACAAAAGCATTTGCATGTTATTTATTAATTGGTGCATTATTTGTTTGTTTTTTTCTTCTAATTTATTGTTTGCTTGGTCTATTTCAACTGTATCATTTTAATGTTTTTCTTATGTAAGGCTGCCATGCATAACTTTTCTTTACTATATATATATATATACATTTAGATAGTCAAAAAAACGAAATTTTTAATTTAAAAATGCTATAGTGCCAAAAAGATGTATTAAGTAAAAAGAAGAGAATCGATATAGAAAATTTTATAATCGGTTAATATCTTCTGGTCACGCAATGCACTTGAAATTTATGAAAAATTGAACATTTTTCTTTCATTTTTTTTTATTCCATTTAAATAAAATGGCCATGCTATAGTTTTTAATACTCAAGTTAAGGTTTAAGTAAAGGAACTAAGTTAAAATATCATTATTAGCTCAATGCATACCATGTTTAGAAAAAGAATTATTTTTCAAGATTCTCACACTTACTGTCTTTAATCAACAGCCTTATCATAACCTGTGGATGAGATAATAAGCAGTGCATTTAGTTTTATTTTCTTTTAGTAGGGCTTCTACAGTCTTGCAAAATTAAAGAGTTTTGACAAATATTTCACCAGGCTTTAGAATTTTTAAATTTAATTGAACTTTGATTTTAGGATTTCAACTTGGTAAGAACTAGTTAAAACATTTCAATTTCTCCAGATTTTTTCAACCATGTCATAAAATTTTCCAGATTGTAACAAATTTTGTTGAATCAGTAGTTTAGTATAATTTATAAATTTAATACTTTTTTGCTTACTTTGTCAGAATAGTATTGATTATCAAAACTGAAAGTAAATATAGAATATTTGAGAGCCAAAGAATGTAAAAAGGTGGGTGATTTTGAATGTCCTGCATTTGATTTTTTTTCAGAGCTAACTAATGATTAGTGAACATTTTCTATCATGCTGTTTTAAAGAGAGATTCAAATTATATATTAATGCAAATGGCAATTGCGTAAATTTTACATAAGAAGCTGGGCCAGTAGAAGAAATATTAAAATTCTTGTACGATAAAATATTTAATCCTAGACTGCGTAACATAGAACTGTTCGACTAATTCTTGTTTATCATTAACCAAACTAAAAAAAATTCAAAATTTATGCAAGTGTTATAAAGACAGATTTTGGCAATTTCGACCAACCAAATAATGTATGACACATTTGTCTCTTTCTTGATGTCTAACTGCAGCAAATGCAGAGTTGTACGGAGCTGTAAATAATGTTAATTCAGTCCTTCTGAGAATTTGAGGAAAGAAAAAAAATTACCTTCTTGAAATGATTCATGCATATGTGTTTCAATATAAGAGTGAATTTCATAGATTTCAAGCAACCATTTTTTAAGTAATTTCAAAATATCTCCGTATTAAACAATTTACTTCAAATTATGAATCTAGAAATTGAATGAAATTTGTTTTGTGATCTCATGGAAAATTTACTGTTTGTTATGATTGCAGTTTATGGGAAAAACATTCACGAGCATGATTGTACTGTAATCTAGGTTTTATTAAATGTACAATTCTGTAGTTAAGCACTATATACATAGATGCTCTATTGTACAAGCATAATAATTTTTCCTCTAGTTTACTGGCTTCTTAAAAAAAATTTATGTGCCTGCTATTTGTTAATATAAAACTTTAAATTTCTCTTAAAACAGCATTTAAAAAAATTGTGTTTCAATAATTTGCTCTGCTGGAAATTTTCTCTGGACCCCAGTTCTAGGACAGTCAAAATCTTGTCCAATAATTACCTTCTTTGATTCATTATGTGGATGCTAATAATCTATAATAGTATAAGTCATAAAATTTGAAATAATGTTATTTTTACTTATTTCACTTTTTTAAGCAATAAGTATAAGAAAAAATAGCGTGTTGATTTCACAATGTTGAGTAAAATTAAAAAATTTAAGAAAATGTTCAATTTTTTCAGTTTTTATAAATTTTAAGTGCAATGCGCAACCAAAGATATAAAGAAATTTAAAAAAAACTTTATATCAATTTTCTTCTTTTTACATGTCGCATCTTTTCTGCACATTTTTTCTTTAAAAATATTGTTGTTGTTTTTTTGTTTACCCTAATATGCAGATTACTAGTTTGAAAATTTCTCATAATATTTTAAAATGTTTCTCTAATTTTTATGCTTTCGTATGTTGAAGCTTATTATTTTAATATTTACAAAATTTAACTTTGTGTAACTTTTTTTAATATATAAACAGCTTATGAGTATAGCAAATGTTAAGAAGTCCAATTGGTATTTGCATTATTACTCAAATTTCAGCTTTCAAATGTATAATGGTTTTCCCTTCAAACTAACCTGCTTATTTTCCTCTAAAGATTTGAAGGCAAAAAAAAAACATTTTTTTACATCAATTTCTTAAAGAGTACTAGTGAGTGTAATAAATTCACTAATGTGAGGTCTCTGATCCAAGCATTACAATTTTTTTTTTATGATTTTCTTTAAATTTATGTCTTTAATTATTTAAAATGTGTCAAATTTTATGTTCGATTGACAGATTTCAGTTCAATTTGAAAAGTTATTGTTTTTGCCATTTTAAATTATGAACTTTTAAATAACTTAGATATTTTCACAATTGAAAATTGATATTTAACTTTTAGTAATTTATTAGAATTATATTTGAATTATCTTGGAAATATACTTTCTTGTGAAGGAATGTTTCATATTAGTGCTTCAGAGCAACTATTTTGCACCTTAAATATTTTCTGTGCAATACTTTGAAACAGTATAGAATTTTGATTATAAATTTTTAATAAACATCACCTTTTGATGAGAATCATTCTATTTACTAATACTTTAAAATATTTAGAGGGAATGAAGTCTATTTATTACATAAATAGAAAAGTGTTTTTTTAAATGTTGATAATTTTTATATTTAAAATTAATATGTGTAACTTAAATATAAAATACTTAAATTGTAAAAAAAAAAAATGTCTACTGTTGTTAACTTTTTGGAAGTTCTCATATACATGTAATTATTTTCAACATTTTCATACTTTATTCCAAGAAATCTTTTTTTTTTCTTCATGTAATTTTTTATATAGAAGAATTAATATTCTGTCCTTCTTTTTTTTTACTTAATTATCATTCCAAGTGTTTCAGTTACATACCTTTGTAATGTGTTTTTTTTATATATATTTTATCTTATTTACCTATTGCATTTTAAGTGTCAAGTAGTTTTCCAGAAAAAAATTCTATTTATTTTTCTTTAGGTGTAATTTATTTGAATTATTATATTTAAATAAAATTATAATTGCATTTTTATGATTGTGTGCTTTCTTAGACAAAAAACAATCTGTATCACTTCATCACTGTCTTAAAAACAATTTGTATCACGTTCATATGGTACTTCCTTCTTTAGATTGTAGTGATACATGGATATGGCAGTAATCACAGTCTTGTGATTACTACCTTGTTTAACCATTAATTTACCAAATTATTAAAAAATTATCAAAAATGTGCAAAAAAATTTTGTTTCATTAAATAATTATTATTTTACACATAGATGAATATTTTTTAATTTTCAATATTTTCAAATTTTTAATTATAATCTTTAATTTGGAATTTTCACCTTTTATAAAATTTTAAAGAAAAACATTTAATAATTTTTCTTTTAAGAAGTTGAAAATGTTAATGAATCAATAAAAAATATGAAAGACCTATTTACCAAAAGTGATCAAGATAAAAAGCCAAGAATAAAATTAAGGAATCGTAGAGTAGCACCCTCAACAAAATATCAACAACTAGGCGATTATTAACAATTAATAGTTTGTTGTCCACTAGTAATGCTAAATATAAAGTCATATTATAGGGACAGACAAGTTCCACTGCGATATTTTGTTCCGTTTCAATGTTATATGGAAAGAATGTTAGTGGTGATTAAAAATTCCATCCTCGCATAAAGACTTGAAAAGTAGCAATCACAAGATTGAGCAATCATAACCAATAGATGAATGAAAACAAATGGTAAAGTAACAATAAGCAAACATACCTAAAGTTGTCTAGTAAAATGCTCACTTCATTAGAATCTAGTGAACTCATTGAAATGAAGAATAACTGAATTTAGCATTACTCTTGGTAGTAACCAACTTCTGAACAACATTTTTCATTAGCTAACGAGTCCAGTGATGAATCTTTTTGACTGATTATAAAATATTGATTTGTTTATACAAACTATTTTTTATTGGTTTGTTTCATTTTAGAAATGATCAAACCTTGATATTATTAAGTTTTTTTAAAAAAAAAAGAAAGAAAGAATATTTTAATAGACATAAATTTGTTACTCAATCACATCTGCAGCTTTTGTCATATGAAGGTTTTAATATTAAATCAAACAAATCTCCGGAGTTTGAACCCTAGAGCCTTGGGACTAGTAATTTGTGGCCTCATATTACTTAACCCTACCAGTCACATCTGGCCGCCTGACTTAAAACAAGCTTTATAAGTAATTTCTGTGATTTATTAAAGGAAGCATATTGTTCCACACTGTAGGCCACTTAATTAGTTTATAATTATTTCCTTTGGTATAGTATGTTTTAATATAATACCTGACCGAGTGTGAAAATTACAAGTTTATATAAAGGTGGATGGAGCCATATATATATGTAATATGTGAACAACAATTTCTCCATTTTATCACTGGACTTAGAAATATATAGCATACATACTTACATATTATGCCACATTTTGATCTCCTAATTTGTTTATAATTATTTTCTTTGGTATTGTCGAAAAGTTTGTTATACAGTACAGAACCCGTTATCCGGAAATCGGAAAACCAAAAAACCGGAACGAAATTCGATGAATTTTCCAACCATTAAAAAAAAAAAAAAAAATTTTCCTCATAAGATTTTAGGATTTTTCTTTCTTTTTTTAAAGATGTTTACCTTACCATCATTTTGGAAATAATTATTAGTGTATTACTTCATCGTTTTTTCTTCTTTTTAAGATTATTTCCAAATATTTTTTTTTTTTTTTTAGTTGGGTTTAACAATAAAAAAACGGCTTTTTGTAGCGATTCAGAAAACCGGAAAAATCAGTTATCCGGAATAGCGATGATCCCGATCGCTCCGGATAATCGGTTCCCTACTGTAATATAATATCCGACAGAGTTTGAAAATTATAGGCTAATATTAAGGGGAGATATGGGTAGCCCCACCCACTTAAGGAGTATTGCTTATATTTCTGTATAATATTGAGTAATAATCAATATTTTTGTATGTTTCTATCATCTAATTAAATAATGCAAAAAGAATATACCAAAAAAAGAATAGTTTAACTTAAAAGAATAGAAATTTAAAAAAATATGTTTTTCAGCTCTTTACAAAATATGTGGGGTAGCCCGCCCAGTTACAAAAATTGTGTTTTTTGACTGTTTTTTCAGGTGTAAATGAAAATGACCAATGTATTGACAATAGATAAACCTCATTTATCATTTTTATCACAAAATTCGACCGATTTTTCTTAATTTCATGACTACTGTATTCAACATATTTTCAAAACTATTGTTTACCATGTTACCAGCTGCATAAATGCTTGAAACTTTGAAAATAATCTTTTTTTAATACAACAATTAATGTCCGATGGCCCATTGACTTGAAAAAATATTCTATACATGTGAAATTGACAGTGGGAGGGGTACCCGACACTCCCCTATGTGCAGTATAGGAACAACAATGTCTCCATTTTAAAGCTATTATATGCATTTAAAATACATACTTACATATTATGCCTCTTTGTGGGGCCCCCAATTTGTTTATAATTATTTTCTTTAGTATAGTACGTTTTATTATAATACCTGACCGAGTTTGAAAACTATAGGCTAATATCAAGGGGAGATCTGGATCTACATATATATATATATATATATATATATATATATGATAAACAATTTCTCCCTTTTTCTATAAATGCATATATAAATGCTTACATATTGTGCCTCATTGTGGGCCCCCTAATTTGTCCATAATTATTTCCTTTGGTATATTTATTAGGTATGTTTTAGTATAATGCTTGACGAACTTTGAAAATTATTGTTTAATATTAAGGGAAGATACTGAGCTATATACTATATACATACGGTGCCACTTTCTGGGGGCCCCATATTTTGTTTATAATTTATTTTCTTTGGTATAGTAGTATAGTATATTATAAGTTAATATCTTGCAGAGTTTGAAAACTGTAGGTTAATATAAACCTTCCAGCACGCGCACTCAGTTATTTTGCATAGGCGCGTGCGTGTCTTATTTTTTACGAACACCTATTATTTTACCCTTTTTGCACTGAAAACGGCAGAAATTACTGAATATTAATAACAATTTTGTCGAGAAATAATCCTATCATGTATAACAAGCCAAACTAAGCCATCATTTCCACTATTGAAGTAACAGTACAGCCTGTTTCTCTTGAGTATTACTTTTAGCAAACATATATATTTATTTGCACACTCCAAAAGTTCATCAATCATATTTATGTCGATATTTATAGAAATGATCCTATTTCATCCTCTATATCAATGTTTCATAACCTTTTTGGCATAATGGACCCCCTTTAAAATTTTTTAAGACGGACCACCCCCCTGTGAAAAAATTGATTGCAAAAACTATCCATTATTAGAAAACATTTAATTTTATTATTTTAATAGTGTACAAAATTTTCATAATTAAAATTTTTAATGTGAAAGTTGCTGCTGCTTTTCCTTAATTAACAAATTGAATTGGGGGATAGTTTTCGACAAAGCAACGCACATATCTTGTTCAACATTCAATCGATTTCGATGTTTTGTTCTTATTGTCACGAGTGTGGAAAATCCCGCTTCGCAGAGATACACCGTAGCAAAGGGAATTATAGCTGCCATAGATCGCTTTACAAGCAATGGGTAGGCTTCCAAACGTTTTAAAAATTAAGAGTAGTTAGCGGACCCCCAAAATATGACTCATGGACCCCTTAGGGGTTCATGAACCACAGGTTAAGAAACCCTGCTCTATATCCTTGGTATGGTGCTTTAGGCCAGGAGACATTTTTACAATATTCCTCTTTTTCGTTTTTGAGCAGTTAGTATACTTTACTTTTCACTACTTAGAAGATTTATCCTTGCCGACATGGAACATTTCATCATTATTTCTTTAATCTGAATTATTATTATCATAATTGCCCGAAATGTGTTGTTCAGATTCAGTGCCGTAACTTCGCCCCTCGGGGCCCTGAGGTGCAAATTTTTGCAGCGGCCCTTTCTCATACTTTCTGTACTCCATCTCTAATAATCATTGTAGCTATTTATGTATCATATTATCAAATATATTTATGAAAATAAGTTATTTGTTCACATATAAATGAGATTACAGAATATTTTAAGTTTAAAATTTAACACTAGAATATAAAATGTTGTCATATTTAGAGAATTACTTTTTGATTACGAAACATTAAGTGTTAAGTGTATAAGACTTCAGGTCAACTAAAAAATAATTACAAAATACTTATTTAATATAGACTTTTAAAGGTATTTAATGGTTTTAGTTTGGTAGACAGATTTATAAACTTAAGTTTGCTGAGAAAGGTAATATATCATGATGACTTAAAATAAATTTCTGGAATAAAGATTTAATATTTGAAAATTTAAATTAGTTTCCGTCTTTGTAAAATATTTAAAGTAAAGCTGTAAAAAAGATTTCACAGAAATGAAAATTTGAGAAAAAGGCAAAAAGAAAGAATTAATATAAAATAAGAAAAGTTATAAAATTAACAACATATAAATCCATCAATAATTTGAAGCACAGTCCTCTAAAAATTGCTAATCTGTTGTTAGTTAATATAAATTGATAATAAAATTATAGCAATTTTTAAATTACCAGCATAAATCTTTATAAAGAATTTTTTATTCATTTGAATGAAAAAAATTTTTAGAAAATTGCATTATTAACCTAAAAATTATTTCTCCTGGCTCTTTTTACCGCAAATTCATCGATTATATTGTAGGGTCAATATTACGTGCTCTTTCATTTTCAATGGACAATAAAGCAAGTCCTGTTTCATCGAACTCCTCAAATAATTTTTTCCATTCCCATTAAATACAATAATTAAAAAAAAAATATTTACTAAAAGTTATT